TCCATAGTAATTCTCACCCATTTTGCTGTATGGTTGGCACTAGAAGCTTTCTTGGGGCCCATGGTGACTTATTTTGCAGGTGCAATCACTAAAAACGCTGTGATAATATGAAATGTTCCGATTGTATGTTTGGATGGGACAGCGGTGGCTGGCTGGCTTGTAAACACTGGCTACAAGTGGACGCGTCTCAGGTGGAACGAATCGTGTTGGTCGAGTTTTTTAGCGCTAGTCGAGGCAAAATTTTTGCGTTAAAATGTATCACTAGTCGGATTTAACGTTAGACGATGCCATCGTTGGTCGAGGGTCCATTGTACTTGTATTGCTAAACATAACGAGGGAAAAATTTCTGAGGCTGCACCTTGACAGTAACCTGAAATTCAACACCCATATCCAACGCATAACAAAAAAGTATCAAAAACAGTTGGCATCCTTTCAAAAGTACATTATTATGTACCACAAACAGCACTACTTACATTATACTATTCACTGATCTACCCCTACCTCACCTATGCTATTTGTGCCTGGAGATCCATAACAGCAAATCACCTTAAGCCATTAACAGCTTAACCAAAAGCCACATTATGAATGATTACACAGTCCACTGTTAGACAACACACTCCCCCACTCTTCAAAGACCCAAATCTACTCACTATACAAAACATCCACTCTTACTACTGTACATCCTACACTAGGATGAGGTCAGTCCCTGAGGGATGACCACCTCAAATACTTTTTCTTCAAGGTTGATGGACTGATTGCATCATATGTATTTCACTACTGCACCAGCTGTCTCTGCATTTGACTGAAGAAGCCTGCTGTGCAGGCAAACTGTTTCAAAAAATATAGATACCTAACTGTTACACATGTGTCTTAATCACCAAGATATAAGAGCTATACACTTAACTTTCTAACAAGATATAAGAGCTATACACTTAACTTTCTAACAAGATATAAGAGCTATACACTTAACTTTCTAACAAGATATGAGAGTCATATACACTTAACTTTCTAACAAGATATAAGAGTCATATACTCAACTTTTCACAAAGCTACTACAGGAGGGCCCTGCTTTACAGCACTTTGCTTTTGAGCATTTTACTGATGCAGTGGTTTTCAATTACAGTGGACCCTCGGTTTACGATATTATTTCATTCCAGAAGTATGTTCAGGTGCCAGTACTGAACGAATTTGTTCCCATAAGGAATATTGTTAAGTAGATTAGTCCATTTCAGACCCCCAAACATACACATACAAACGCACTTACATAAATACACTTACATAATTGGTCGCATTGGGAGGTGATCGTAAAGCCGGGGTCCACTGTACTCCCATTCTTCATTTAATCAGACTTCCAACAATAAATATATTCACCACTCACTATAAGCTAACGATGAAAACATTTTAAGGTAAGTAATGTGTGTACTGTACTGTACAGTGGACCCTCAGTTAACGATATTAATCCATTCCAGAGAGCTTGTCCTTAACCAATTTAATCGTTATCCGAATTAATTTTCCCTATAAGAAATAATGGAAATCCAATTAATCCGTTTCAGACATCCAAAAGTATAAAACAAAATATTCTTTTTACATGAAATATGCATTTCCCTACACAGAAAACAATGATACATGAAGATATTTGGAAGACGGGAGGAGGGGAGAGGATGGAGGAGTTTACAATTGTTTTGGAAGGGAAATCCCACTCCATAAAGACTTCAGGTACCAAGTCCTTATCCTGGGTTACTTCCTTCCTTTGTTTTTTAATGCCACCAGGACCAGCTTGAGAGCCACTGGACCCCTGTTGCTCAAAAAAGTTTTCCAGAGAGGTCTGTTTCTGGCGTATGTTAGGAATTATGTTGGGAGGCACAAGATAGTCCTTTAATATGACACTAGTATCAGCTCTACAGCTTATTTATCTAGCACAATTCATCTAATATGACATAATAAACAATATTAATAACACAGAAACATGACACATACTCTAGAATGAATAAAATACAGTGGACCCCCGCATAACGATCACCTCCGAATGCGACCAATTATGTAAGTGTATTTATGTAAGTGCGTTTGTACGTGTATGTTTGGGGGTCTGAAATGGGCTAATCTACTTCACAATATTCCTTATGGGAACAAATTCGGTCAGTACTGGCACCTGAGCATACTTCTGGAGTGAAAAAATATCGTTAACCGGGGGTCCACTGTACATCATTATGTCACAAGTGTTGCTGTGTTGTTGTTGTTGGGTGTATAAAGGCCACTGAGAGCATAAGCCGTACATAGTGGTGGTGGAGAGGGCAGCAGAGGCGGTAGAGACAGTGGTGTTGTCAGTCGCCCTATATAACTCCAACAACATTGGAGGAGTTAGGTTTGTGCTCTCCTTTTTCTATCGATTAATTGCTTAATTACTTGCTACAGTTAATGCTACACTTTATCACTGGCTGCCACTATAGCCTTTATAGACTCCTGCTGTTTTAGTATCGTACATATTGCAGAATCACTGAAAAAGGCACATTCTCCCTTCTCTCTCAGCCCTTTACCAAAAGGCTGGCTGGCACTAGAAGCTTTCTTTGGGCCCATGGTGGCTTATTTAGCAGTTACAAGCACTAAAAACAATGGAATACAAAATGTATCACATGTACGCATGGAATCGTCCATAGTGGCTTGTAAACAATGGCACACTAGCCACACTGGAGTGGCCAGGCAGCGCAGGCCGCACGGACACAAATGTCCGTAACTGATGAATGTCCGTAACTGATGAATGTCCATAACCGAGTTTTTTATCGTTAGCCGAGCCAATATTTTGACGCAAAAATGTATCAGTATCCGATTTTATCGCCATCTGATGGCATCGTTAACTGAGAGTCCACTGTATATGCATTTTCTAGGCCTAGCTCTAATGCTCACTTAATAAATGATAGTATATTCATGTTATCTGGCTTTTATATGTATACGAAAGTAAAAAAAAAAAAGAGTGAGAGAGAGAGCTATGTTTCAATTTACAGGCATAGCCTGGAACCTAACCTGCTGTATAATTTGGGCCTGTCTGTATTAGAATGATTGACTACTTGCAGAGGCCACATGCTGCTAACCTCTGATTCATACTCTTCTCTCCTTGATTTACTTCTTACTTTTATACATTTTCAGTGTGGTATGTGTATTTAATTTTGTCTTTCTCTAGATGTAATTTAACTAACTTCTTTGGCTCAGTTACTAACTCTTCTTTCACCTGTACAGTCATGTACATAATTATTCAATCTTAACCTTCTTATTCATCTTGAGAATGTTAGACATTTCCTAAAAGACCATGTCGAGTAGCATGAAGGTTTTCATATTGTGATCACAACCTTCAAAGGAAGTTTCCATGGGGAACTAAAAGGGAATATGATATAAAATAAAAATGCATGCTAGTGGCTTTCTTTTGTGTCTATCATGGTTTTACTACATGTAACCTATATTATTTGTACTACACAAAGAAATAAAAATTGTGTTAACCCTTTCAGGGTCGACAGGCCCTCTCTGAGACTTCTTCTCAGGGTCACCCAAATTTCAAAAAAAAAAAAAAAAAATTTCTTATGAAAAGATAGAGAATCTTTTCCCGATCATAATGACACCAAAAGTATGAAATTTGATGGAAAACTTACAGAATTATGCTCTAGCGAAGTTAGAGGTCTCGACGATGTTTATGCATCGGCGATTTTGCCCACTTTAAGCTATATTTTTGCCCAATTCCAGTGTACTAGTCAACAAAAATCATGACTATTTCACTAGAACTCCATTTTTTCTATCGAATGAGTACAAGAAACCACTCATTTACCGATTTCAACTATCCAATAAAGTGGTCAGAATTTAGCAATTTTGCCAATTTCACACAAACTTCAAAAGATGCCAATTTCCGAATAGGGTCCAGAATAAACAAGAAAGACATTCCTGGCACTAAAATAACAAGTTCTCTGTTCGTTAGTCACATCCCCAGGCCCCTCTTATATTTCTTTGGCTTTCCACTTTGAATTTTTATTCTTACAAAAAATAGAAGATTTACTGTTATGCAGACTACTGCATTAGTGTAGAAATGGTATAAATAATATCAGCGCACTTGTGAAAGAATATTAGACTCACCAGTTGACGTGTATTGGATGCTTGGCATGATTTGCTTACTTTTGAACTTTGGTAAAAATCGAACATTTCTGCTACTTTGAGCTCAATTTCAAGGTACTTTTCATTGTAAAAAAAGTCAAAATCATCTCAATTTCTGTAATATGTTTTCCATTCTATAAAATGAGACCAGGAAAACTAGAATACAACCATAAATACCATACGAAAATACAGTGCAAATTCGCTATTTTAATCCAAAAACAGGGTCAAAGTTTTTTTTCCTCATTACGCACTGTGTGCTGCAGGATTTTTTATACTGCGCACACTGACCACATAGACCCATTCTTTTATATGTAGGCCTACCAGCTCTCTCTCACTAGATTTGGGGCGTAAGCCATACTAGTACGGCCGAAACCCTGAAAGGGTTAAACTGAATTTTAATGTATAGTTGAAAGATACAGGAAGGCCCTGTGTGTATGGCTCTTAGGATCCTAACCCCGTACGGTAAGTGAAAATTGCCAGCAGGTGGTACAGAGCAATTTTTTCATTATCGAGTGCGTCTAAAACATTTGATAACATGTTTACGTATTATATTTTAAGTGCTCAATACAGCTAGTCATAAAACAGATAAAAAAAAGTCAAATAAACACACAGTACATACAATACTTACCATAAAACATAGTACCAGTTGCACTTCCTCTACACAACTATTGTACAAAAATGGTGAAAACAATGGAAAAGTGGTAAAGCACAAAACATAACAAACAATGGCTTGATTGAAATCCAACAAAAACATGGACAACTGTATATGTGAGGCCCTCCTGTAAATTAATTCTTTTAACACTGAGGAAAGGGAGAAATATCAATTCTTGTAAAAATAACAAATACATGACATCCTGTGGAATGAGTACCTCTTCTAGATTATCAATGCAACGAGGAGCAAAACAGCTGGTTGTTGTCATCACAGCTGCTACAGACTCTGGGCCCAGGGAGGTGATCAGACGCTTTATCTCTGCTACATCTGTTCGGAGCTCATCACCCTCAAGGCGGTTCTCCACAACAACTGGTTCAAATCCTATAAGAGAGAAACAAATGATTTTAAAAAACATGTTGCAATAATAATATTTTTTAATTTCTTCTTTCTTCTTTCAACACACCGGCTGTATCCCACCGAGGTGGGGTGGCCCAAAAGGAAAAACGAAAGTTTCTCCTTTTACATTTAGTTATACAGGAGAAGGGGTTACTAGCCCCTTGCTCCTGGCATTTTAGTCGCCTCTTACAACACGCATGGATTTTTTTTTTTTCAACAAGTCGGCCGTCTCCCACCGAGGCAGGGTGACCCAAAAAAGAAAGAAAATCCCCAAAAAGAAAATACTTTCATCATCATTCAACACTTTCACCACACTCACACATTATCACTGCTTTTGCAGAGGTGCTCAGAATACAACAGTTTAGAAGCATATACGTATAAAGATACACAACATATCCCTCCAAACTGCCAATATCCCAAACCCCTCCTTTAAAGTGCAGGCATTGTACTTCCCATTTCCAGGACTCAAGTCCGACTATATGAAAATAACCGGTTTCCCTGAATCCCTTCACTAAATATTACCCTGGTCACACTCCAACAGATCGTCAGGTCCCAAGTATCATTCGCCTCCATTCACTCCTATCTAACACGCTCATGCACGCTTGCTGGAAGTCCAAGCCCTCGCCCACAAAACCTCCTTTACCCCCTCTTTCCAACCCTTTCGAGGACGACCCCTATCCCTCTTTCCTTCCCCTATAGATTTATATGCTTTCCATGTCATTCTACTTTGATCCATTCTCTCTAAATGACCAAACCACCTCAACAACCCCTCTTCTCCCTCTGACTAATGCTTTTATTAACTCCACACCTTCTCCTAATTTCCACACTCCAAATTTTCTGCATAACATTTACACCACACATTGCCCTTAGACAGGACATCTCCACTGCCTCCAACCATCTCCTCGCTGCTGCATTTACCACCCAAGCTTCACATCCATATAAGAGTGTTGGTACTACTATACTTTCATACATTCCCTTCTTTGCCTCCATAGATAACGTTTTTTGACTCCACATATACCTCAACGCACCACTCACCTTTTTTCCCTCATCAATTCTATGATTAACCTCATCCTTCATAAATCCATCCGCCGACACGTCAACTCCCAAGTATCTGAAAACATTCACTTCTTCCATACTCCTCCTCCCCAATTTGATATCCAATTTTTCTTTATCTAAATCATTTGATACCCTCATCACCTTACTCTTTTCTATGTTCACTTTCAACTTTCTACCTTTACACACATTCTCAAACTCATCCACTAACCTTTGCAATTTTTCTTTAGAATCTCCCATAAGCACAGTATCATCAGCAAAAAGTAACTGTGTCAATTCCCATTTTGAATTTGATTTCCCATAATTTAATCCCACCCCTCTCCCGAACACCCTAGCATTTACTTCTTTTACAACCCCATCTATAAATATATTAAACAACAATGGTGACATTACACATCCCTGTCTAAGACCTACTTTTACCAGGAAGTATTCTCCCTCTCTTCTACACACCCTAACCTGAGCCTCACTATCCTCATAAAAGCTCTTTACAGCATTTAGTAACTTACCACCTATTCCATATACAGTGGACCCCCGCATAACGATCACCTCCGAATGCGACCAATTATGTAAGTGTATTTATGTAAGTGTGTTTGTACGTGTATGTTTGGGGGTCTAAAATGGACTAATCTACTTCACAATATTCCTTATGGGAACAAATTCGGTCAGTACTGGCACCTGAACATACTTAAATAAATAACAAAAAGGCACAATGTGACTTTGTCAATGGTCCAAGTCGGACCGAAACGTCGTCGTAAGCTTCTCTCTTTTATGTGCGGGTTATTTGTGTACCTGAACATACTTCTGGAGTGAAAAAATATCGTTAACCGGGGGTCCACTGTACTTGCAACATCTGCCACATTGCTCCTCTATCCACTCTATCATATGCCTTTTCTAAATCCATAAATGCAATAAAAACTTCCCTACCTTTATCTAAATACTGTTCACATATATGCTTCAATGTAAACACTTGACCTACACATCCCCTACCCACTCTGAAGCCTCCCTGCTCATCCGCAATCCTACATTCTGTCTTACCTCTAATTCTTTCAATTATAACCCTACCGTATACTTTTCCTGGTATACTCAGTAAACTTATTCCTCTATAATTTTTACAATCTCTTTTGTCCCCTTTCCCTTTATATAAAGGGACTATACATGCTCTCTGCCAATCCCTAGGTACCTTCCCCTCTTTCATACATTTATTAAACAAAAGTACCAACCACTCCAACACTATATCACCCCCTGCTTTTAACATTTCTGTCATGATCCCATCAGTTCCAGCTGCTTTACCCCCTTTCATTCTACGTAATGCCTCACGTACCTCCACCACACTTACATTCTGCTCTTCTTCACTCCTAAAAGATGGTATACCTCTCTGGCCAGTGCATGAAATTACCACCTCCCTTTCTTCCTCAACATTTAAAAGTTCCTCAAAATATTCTCGCCATCTACCTAATACCTCCCTCTCTCCATCTAACTCCCCTACTCTGTTTTTAACTGACAAATCCATACTTTCCCTAGGCTTTCTTAACTTGTTTAACTCACTCCAAAATTTTTTCTTTTCATTAAAATTTCTTGACAGTGCCTCTCCCACTCTTTCATCTGCTCTCCTTTTGCACTCTCTCACCACTCTCTTCACCTTTCTTTTACTCTCCATATACTCTGCTCTTCTTATAACACTTCTGCTTTGTAAAAACCTCTCGTAAGCTACCTTTTTCTCTTTTATCACACCCTTTACTTCATCATTCCACCAGTCACTCCTCTTTCCTCCTGCCCCCACCCTCCTGTAACCACAAACTTCTGCCCACATTCTAATACTGCATTTTTAAAAACTATTCCAACCCTCTTCAACCCCCCCACTACTCATCTTTGCACTAGCCCACCTTTCTGCCAATAGTCGTTTATATCTTGCCCGAACTTCCTCCTCCCTTAGTTTATACACTTTCACCTCCCTCTTACTTGTTGTTGCCACCTTCCTCTTTTCCCATCTACCTCTTACTCTAACTGTAGCTACAACTAAATAATGATCCGATATATCAGTTGCCCCTCTATAAACATGTACATCCTGGAGCCTACCCATCAACCTTTTATCCACCAATACATAATCTAACAAACTACTTTCATTATGTGCTACATCATACCTTGTATATTTATTTATCCTCTTTTTCATAAAATATGTATTACTTATTACCAAATTTCTTTCTACACATAGCTCAATTAAAGGCTCCACATTTACATTTACCCCTGGCACCCCAAATTTACCTACTACTCCCTCCATAACATTTTTACCCACTTTAGCATTGAAATCCCCAACCACCATTACTCTCACACTTGATTTAAAACTCCCCATGCATTCACTCAACATTTCCCAGAATCTCTCTCTCTCCTCTACACTTCTCTCTTCTCCAGGTGCATACACGCTTACTATAACACACTTTTCACATCCAATCTTTATTTTACTCCACATAATCCTTGAATTTATACATTTGTAGTCCCTCTTTTCCTGCCATAGCTTATCCTTCAACATTATTTTTAATTTATCTCATTAATTAGACAGTGTTATGTGGACACCAGCAGAGTTTTGGCTAAATTGTGAACACTGGCAGAGTTCTGGCTAAAGTGTGGACACCAGCAGAGTTCTGGCTAAAGTGTGAACACCAGCAGAGTTCTGGCTAAAGTATGGACACCAGCAGAGTTCTGGCTAAAGTGTGAACACCAGCAGAGTTCTGGCTAAAGTGTGGACACCAGCAGAGTTCTGGCTAGAGTGTGGACACCAGCAGAGTTCTGGCTAAAGTGTGGACACCAGCAGAGTTCTGGCTAAAGTGTGAACACCAGCAGAGTTCTGGCTAAAGTGTGAACACCAGCAGAGTTCTGGCTAAAGTGTGGACACCAGCAGAGTTCTGGCTAAGTGTGGACACCAGCAGAGTTCTGGCTAAAGTGTGGACACCAGCAGAATTCTGGCTAAAGTGTGAACACCAGCAGAGTTCTAGCTAAAGTGTGAATACATATAGTCTGTCTCTGTTGTCTGTGTCTGGTACATGTACAGTCTCTGTCCCCAGTGTGTGGTACATGTATAGTGTGTCTACCTTCTTCATGTCTACCCACTCCTCCCTCCTCCTCACTTCCAAAACACCCTCCACCATTATGCCATTTAAGACAAGCAAGCAGGCACTTTCAATATTTCCATACGAGTCCTCAACATGTAGAACTCAATGTCCTCTTCATTCTCCTAAGAATGTAGTTCATCCACAGACTCCAGGAGGCAGTTAATCCTGTTCGGAGTGTGTGATTCTTGGTGTGACAATGCCCTATTCATGTGTGTAGGGCAATGCCCTACACACATGAATTTTTTTTTCACACAGAACTGCACACACCAACGGTACAAACCCCTTTTCTCTAATGTAGGCCTAACCAGGCCAATCACAACCATTTTGGAAACTCCAGCACTTATGTGTAAATTTACATCAATGGCAGTTTTCCAGATGGCTTAAATTTGTGTCAGGAAATTTAACCCTTTGACTGTTCCAGGCCCCTTTCTGAAACTGTCATTCTATGTCAATAAATTTTTGGAAAAAAAAAAAAAAAAAAAAAAAAAAAAATTTCTTATAAAATAATAGAGAATCTTTTCCCAATGGTAATGACACCAAAAGTACGAAATTTAATCGAAAACTCACGGAATTACGCTCCCACGAAGTTAGCAGTCTCGGCGACATATACGCATCGGCAATTTCGCCAATTTTGAGCCTTGTTTTTAGCCAATTCCAGTGTTGCAGTTGACCAAACTCATAGCTATTTCTTCAGAACTCCATTTTTTTCTATCAGTTGAGTATAAGAAACCGCCCATTTACTGATTTGAACTACCCAATATGGTGGTCAGAAATTGGCAATTTGGCCAATTTCATGCAAATTAAAAAAGATGCCAATTTCAAAAT